CACTCCCCCCTTTGAGGTATCCTCAAAAGTAGGAACGACACAGTTCCAAATATATTATTTCTTCGTAATTATGTGTATACTTATGTGTACTTTTCACTTGGCTGTGATCTTGAAGCCACGACGCTAGGGTAAATAAACGCCGTAGTGATTCTTCTTGTCTGCAGGAACTTGCAGGCACTTTCGAGAGGAGTCAGAAGCGCTGCCGTTACGCAATGAAGTTCTTTAGGGTCAAATTGAAATTCCATTAAAAAGTAGACGAATTCCAGATGTCATGTTGACATTTAAATTCAATGAATTTGGAACGCATTATTTGTTGTATTCTTCTCAACACTTCAAGTAAAATGAGACTTTGAATTGGACTTTGGGATCATTTTCTGAACTTCATTATCATCAGGAAGCATTGCCTCATTACAAACCTTAACCATATGAGAAACCATTGGATAAAAACCTAGGCAAGGTAAAAAAGAGTACAGTGCACGAATGATCGATTTCTGATTTGTTTGATTCGGATAAGCATTGACAGAATGATTGTTGTTGCCTTCTCCGAAGTTTTGCGAAGTCAATCAGCTATATACTCCTTCTTAAAACATAACATTACTACTCCCACGTCATTATTTTTGTTGAAGCAAAGGGGTTCTTGATTCTCACTCGTTGTTTCGATTACTTTGGTTAACACAGAGACCGTCAGTATTGCAAGTGACGCTTCTGGTTGGTGTATAGTGCCATATGCCACGATTGGTAGGTAATTTTGATTGTTAAGCTCCGTCAATTCTTTGCCGAATTTGGCTAGATTCATGATCAGTTGTTCTTCTGAGATTTCATGTTTCATTATTCTTCTTCGGACCTTCGTTGTAATACAGCAAATTAAGCGATGAGCATTCAGTCAGGGTTTCATACAGAATTTCATGCATAGGATGCAGGATATACATAGGACAACACAAGATGGACAGGAGAACATAGGACGGACGGGACTGCAGAGGATATGAATATACTCGGTTTAGTTCCATTATTTTTTGCTCTTAGTCGATAGTAGGTTACCTGAAACCAGATAACAACAGGAACAGAAAAACGAACTATCTATCTTGCACATTGATATTAATTTGAGATCATAATGGTATGTCTGATAAAATCGGATAACTTAGTCCGTCTTGCTTCTACACTAATTTGTGAGTGTAAAATCTTATTTACGTTCCTTCTCATCCAGAGATGTCACTTATCTCCACAGCTAGAAATTCAGACTATGGGTAATAAGAATCGCTTTCAATACTGCTGATCGCCAATACGGGATGTTTAATACTTTTTGAACTTTACTCAATTCGAACATTCATCATTTTTCAACATTTGATCAATAAGGATTTACATTCTTATTATGTAAACCACTGAACTCAGACTCATTTGTCAACACTTCTCTTTCATCTCCTCATTTCACCAGCCCAGACTCATTTGTCAACACTTCTCTTTCATCTCCTCATTTCACCAGCCCAGAGTCATTAGACGCCCATTTTCTCAAAAGGAAATTATTTGAGGATGTGACTGCCTCAACTTCTTTCTTAACTTGTCTTGCTTCTTCTACCGTATCCGCTCCCCCCAAAAAATCGTCCACGTAAAACGATTTTTTTTGAAACGACGTATTTATTAGTCTTCCAAAGTCTTTCAGCTTTACATTTAATCTTTAAATATTTTTTTAAATGTCTTTGCTTTTTCTCACAACGAATTCCCCAAACCTTTCATCTCTATTCAATACATCATACATTTCACCAAATTATAAAT